AGAGAGAGAGAGAGAGAGAGAGAGAGAGAGAGAGAGAGAGAGAGAGACAGATAGAGAGAGAGTTCGGAAAAACGAGACTCACGCTCTATTACCGATTTCCGAGATACGGTCGTATTTCTAATTTCGAATCGAGTTAAGAATCATAATTTTGTCTTAAGCGCACTTTTATTTATAATATCAATTTCCTAACAGCTAGAAAATGGAATATTGCCGCTGCTGAAAGGATGTTGCGTGCGGTAAGTTTTAGCAGAAACCCCTTCAGGCCTAACACTGATTGTAAAATTATATGATTATTTCTTGTAGAGCTTGAAGACGCGTGCCATGTGGAATGTGGACACTCTGGAAACATGGAATGCGCCGAAAGCTTTACAGGAATACGTACCCACTGGCATGGTCGGTTTCGATAAGGAAGGCTCCCCGGGTAAGAATAAAATCGAATAATCAATCGATGTTTTTGATGCGCTTATACTAGTTTTTTTGAGGAACGGGCAGTCATTGTTTGTCCCTTTTACAATTTGGATATCTACGGTGTACTACACTGCGCGACACGATTCGACTTTATGCGATATGTTGTTCTGCTTTTGGAGAGATATATGAAAGCCGGCTACGAACAAAGTAAAATTCATGGATTGCGTGCACGCCAGCTGGTGGTATTATTTGATATGAAAGATTTTACCATTAGAGCTTACACTTGGCGACCCGCGGCAGAACTCGTTCTTTTCCTCATTAAACAGTATGAAAAAAATTATCCAGAAATTCTAAAAATGTGCTATATAATCAATGGTAATAATGAGTATATACGGCTGTGGTGGTTATAGTATAAATGAAGTGCGAGCGTAGCATCTATACGTTCTTATGTCAATCATAAAAATTAATTTTCATTCATCGTAACAAACAAAGAAATAAACTGCACTCTACATTCAACTATGGCATTTCATGAAATATCGAATCATCGAATTTCGATTACACCGTGTCTGCAATCTAAAGCCAAATAATGTATTAGAAACAGATTGTTGACTTACGGTAGCAACTAGTACAGCAGGCAAATTTACTTTAGTTTGAAATAAATATTTTCGAAATTTTGCGTACAAATATTTCAAGAGGTTTGAGTAAAATTATCTTTTATTCTATGTTCTATCATATTAAAGTTACTCAATCAACGAAATATCGCCCGTGCATCACGAAATTTTAATGTTCTTAGATGTCAAGGTGAGGTTGAATACCCCCACGAAAAGGCTTTAGTTGTTAAACCCAAATACCAATCTTTTGAAACCGATCCCTATCGGTTGATCATATTAAGATTAAGATTAAATTGACTAGAATTTGTCTACCAAACCGAGCTGCTTGCTCTGTCTTAAAAGGAGAAAACTCTATTCACTTTAGGATGCCTATCTTTTTATTAATTTATGCAATTTGATGTGTGAACTGAAAGAGGAATACACGAGTCGAGTTTTTTCTAGGATTTTAACTGGACTCAGACTGATATGATCCACTGCAGTGCTGAGTATATTAAATAAGAGAGTATTGACGCATTTTGAAGGCCCTAAGGCAAGCATAGTCAAGCATTTTCGTTGTGTTTATGTAACTCATTCCATTAGTGATTAACTCTTCAGTCCTACATAATTTCATTTATAAGTCCGTAGCCTATTTTTTCTTAAAAGCTTAACGCGTAAAGCTTTGTTTTCACCCATAAGCTTCTCTTAACGCTTAACTTATGATTCCAGCACCCAAGGTATTCTCTGTGGCGTTCAATGTTGTTAAAAAATTTCTCGATGAGTATACGATAAGTAAAATCAATGTTTATAAATACGGTTGTGATAACTGGAAAGAGGACATGTTTAAGCACGTCGATCCTGATATTGTACCCAAACGCTTGGGCGGCAACTGTACGGAGAATGGCGACGACAAATGTCCCAGCAAAGTAATTAATCATAAATATGCAAATAAGACAATAAAACTTTATCAATTTATATACTACAGGTTGTATGGGGTGGCAAAATTCCCCAAGAATTGTATTTAGAACAGCGAGACGAGATAGATGGCAATAAGGAATTCACTGAGGCAGTGGTGGCGAACGGTAACAAGTTGAAACTTGAATTTGAAGTGGATTCGAAAAATTCGAACACCAAGCCGCCAGTATTATCTTGGAACTTTCGCACTATTGATTACGGCATTAGATTCGGTATCTATAGTACAGATACAACAACAGGTGAAAGGCATAGTGAAATTGATTTGGGCAACGTTCAATCAAACGAAATGGACGAAGTTGGCTTTATAGCTACGCGTCCCAACACCAAATGTAAGCTCGAAACTAAACGAAATTTCATTGATGTAAAAAACGCCCATTATTTTTATTTTTTTATTTTTTTAGATACCGTAGTCTTTGATAACACGAACAGCTATTTGCGTAGTAAAAAGTTACGTTATTGGGTCTCTTTGATTCCTGAATTAGACGATAAGGATATTGAATTTGTCTCACAAGATATTCAAAGTGAAGTCGTGGCTGTGAACGAAGCAAAGACATAAATCAACATTTGATACTCACATTATTGATATTATTGTTGCATTCAGTCAGTTAAACTAAGCGATCCTAACGCAGTTTATCGTATCCTTCCTTTTGTGCTCGAAAGTTTCTTAAATCTAAAATGAAGGGCTCGTCTAATTAGATTCTTATGCAATTGTATGTATATATGCACCTAATTCTCTTTTTACACGATAGATACGTTCCCAAATTATTCGTGTAAAAAAAGTTATTGGCTAAATGGGAAAATAGCAAATTAGTTCCAGCAATTTGAAAGTACAATAAGCAATATTAAAAGAATTTTGAGAATTTATTCCGTGCTTAAACCCTTTAATTCATTAAATATATTATAAAAAATAAAATATAGCTTGGAAAACCAAACTTAATCGCGTAAAAATACATTATGCATAATACGAGGAATCGCACTCATATACGTATAATTGACATAATCTAACCGAATTATGAAAAATATAACGCGAAGTTACAATGCATATATGTGAGGTGTGAAAATGGTAAAATGCGTGTAAAAGAGAATTAGATGTATACATATGCATGTATTTATATATGTTAAGATATATATGTTAAGTTTTTATATACGGTTTTGAGATTCTGTTTAGTTACCAAAATAGTCGCACAAGCATGTTTAAGTTACATAGATTTTGTAAATTTTAATGGTTTTATATAATTATGGAATCAATGAAGCACTTACAGTGGCACACTAACAATTTTTTTAATAGTTTTTATCCCTGGATCTATTTAAATATAGATTAGTGTTTTTTTTTTTTTTTTCTTTCTTTTTTTCTCCTTTTTTTGAGACATAGAGTTATAATGAACTGATTCAAAGAGATATATGGTTTATACGTCCAGACTATACATAATTTATACAATATCGGTATTTATATGCGGTAAGTAGAGTAGGTAGTAGTAGTAGTAGTAGTAGTAGTAGTAGTAGTAGTAGTAGTAGTAGTAGCAGTGGGCCACGACTAAATATCTTACCCCACTTCGCTTAATATAGTTTTCAAAATACAACATTGCATGGGAAGGGGTCCATTCCATATCATTTTCAATCGCGATCTTCCCTAGGTGTACCTAATTTGGTGAGAATAAATCAAAAATTGCCCCCTGTAGGTTGACCACAAGAAAACAATACGGACAGATGGACAGAAGGATGGTTTAAATCGATTCAAAGAAGAATTCTTATTAGAAAATAATTCTGAATAGGTCGGTGGATCAAACTCAAGTTCTGCTTCTTTTTTTTTTTTTTGGTGCCGTATACATCCATGCAAACTAAATATACCCTGGTATCACAAGTGGTGTATAATATAAAAATAAAAAAGATAAAATACTTGAAAACATTAGAGCATTAAAGCGATTACTTTCGTGACGCAGTAAGTGAATCCTTTCAGATCTGGATTATTGTAAACATTGAAAAGATTATTATAGTTTTTATATCGTTTTAATAAATGAAATGATCTACTGACATAATCAAATTTTTTCGCTGATTTTCTTGTATTGCGTATATCAAAAATGTCATTTGGCACAAATGCAACCATTTTCAGATCGACTTTTTTATACGTGCGTCCACTAATGAGCGTACACAGCTGAATCTGAAGACAGACCCTGACAGTGGTTTAAAGGCACGGATTGGAAAGAGTTTATAGAGAAGACGATCAATTTTGGTTCATTATTCAATCATTGCAATGTTATATATCGAATAACACCTATTGCTTCTTTGAGAGCATATTTAATGGACAATATCTTATCATTAAGTTGTCCTTCACTCACTTGAAAGTTAGCTTTCTCGTCATGTTTGAAGCCACAGCGACTTGGCACCTATGCCGAGAGATGCTTAGCTTATCATGAACCTCAAAGAAAGTTTTAATGGATTGAAGGAGGAGAAGGATGCTTTTTGTCTAATAAAAGTAAGATAAATTTGTTTTGAGTGAAAGTTTCTGACCGTTTGTAGTGGCTATTTTTACGGAATACCAACTAACAAGCCGTTTTTTCCGTTTCATAAACTTTCAAAACTATTAAAACCGTGTTTTATTCTCTTCAATATGCAAAACAGGTAAAGAAAGTGAATGTTCGGGCGACAATACCCAACGCTTGGGTTCATACTTCTCTAAACGGAAAAGGATAACTGCCATATTATAACACAGCGTTTATTGCATATAACTGATACCCATGAGGAATGTTGCTGCAGTAGCAGACGTTGAAGTTGGTTGCCTTGAGGCGTTTTCAAGCTTCCTTATTGAACTCCGGGATTTTGTGGCACTTGTGGATAGACTGGACCAATTCAATTCCACCGGCCTGCTCAGTTGCTGCATGGGAAAATGTGTGATGCGATTCGATCTTGAATCAACTCTGGGCCAATAGCTCAGTGCCGAATCCGAATTTGTTTTTTCAAATTATTAAACATCGTGTGAGTGTGGGTTGACTTACCGGATTTTATTTAAGGATGAGGACTAGCCGACTTGCGAATTAGACCTAGAGGATGGTATATGTGAAGTCGGAAACCATAGTTTTGAGCTTCACGTTCGATTTGTGAGAAAGTCTGCAAATTAATAATTGTTTCATAATTTCGCAGAAGGGTCATAACTTTTTCTATGTACTTACAACTCTGATAATTCATGATAAATCCTTTAAGTGGAGAGCTCGATGAGCATTGACAAAGAAGTAGTTTTCATACGTAAGCTTCCCTCTCAAGCTTGTAGCCAATTACTAGCCAACTCTTACTCAAGTGACTGTGGTGCAGACGCCTTATTTCGCTTAACCATAGCTTGAATTTTGACGCCTTGTTACTATTTCTCTTCCTTTTTTTTATTGTCGCGTGATTTAACATTTTTACAAAAATTATTAACGAAACCCAGCACGTTTAGTAAAGTCCTCAACAAATAGCATATGCAAATGCCTGACACAGATTTGTATCGCTTTGCTGCAAAAATATCATGTCGCATTGAAACAATTGATCGTTATATTAACTAGACATAGCCAAGCGTTATTGATGAATCCGTCTAAGGCATTTGACATTATCCGATTATATAAAACTAGATGTACGTGTACTGCACACAAGTATTAATAATAGAAATCTAATATATATTAAAAAATCTGCAGAAACCTTTAGAACCCTGTATTGTGTTGAGGAGCTTTGCTTAATTAAATCCAAGCAAATAGTGCAAACATATTAAGCCTTAGCTAACCAAAGTCCTTATTATTAGATACAATATTTTGAGACCATTTAATATTTTTGAGCTACTTAGTACCGTGTTAAGTTTCATTTCCGAAGGCTGCTACTTGGTCCAGATGCATAGTCATCATGGTTGCTTTTTAATGAGAAAGATGATTTTTATGCACGGGAAGCCCAAACTGATGCCAAAATTTTATCGATTAAATGCACGCCCACAGATACAATAGGCATGATACGAAAAATTTAAAGGAATTGCGTGTATCAGAAACAACCGCCTCTTCCACAAATACCACAAAAACACGACCTTGTAATTTTGAATACCAATTGGAAACAGCTTCGAATTCATGGGAGATCAAAATACCTTATAAGGTTTATAATAGGTTATTTGTGCGCAAATGTTAAATGCGAAGATTGCAAATACAAGAGAACGCGCTGAACAAATCATTTTCAAATATTATAGATTTGATAATATTCGAGAGCCCTTCAATCTATTCGCATGATATGATAACCCCTTCGATTTTTCTAATGTACAAAATGACGCTCATTTTAGCGAACCAAATTCATTCAACCATTTAACTGAGTCAAACTCTTTCGAAAATGTGTATTCAAATGACGAATATACACGTCAGACAAAGAGTGCGTGGAATATGAGATTAGGCTGTTGTGTAAAATACATTATTGATAAAATTTTATGAGGAAATCGGACATGGACGGATAGACGGATCGTGACATTATATGTTCGTCATAACACAAAATTTTGTACTTTCTTCATGGCGCGTGCATACGTCTTACACACTTAATTGGTTAGCAAGGAAATCTCTCTCTTTAAGTAACTATAGTTCTTCCTTTGTACTTTGTTTTTAATTTTTTATATTAACATTAAGACGCTATTACATTTTAATTTCCAATTTATTTTAATCAACTTCATGTTAAACGTATCTTAAAATCAACTTAGTTCAAGCAAAGTTTGCAACGTTAATCTTACTCTTTTCATTTTACTTTTTATACATCATATATAAGCTTCTAATACACTGGATGTAAAGCCCTCAGTCCAATAATAAAAAAAAGAGGGCCAAAACAAAACAAAAAATAATAAATTACGAACATAACTAAAAGAAGTAAGCCTTGAAGTAACGTTTTGTATGTGGGACTTATTGCAGCTTTAATTAAAAGAAAACTATATTATTGATGCAAAAATAACAGACTGCGACTTAAAAGAGAACCTCACTTATATTGAAATCAATTTACTCTTCCAGCAAACATACAGGAAACTATTAATACATTGCGATAGACAAAGCTTGGCGATATTGTATTTCAAATGTAATTTGAAGTCTGCTAATTTCCACGATGACCTTATATCATTGTTTTATTGAATGAAGTTTTGCGACTATAGAATTCAAGTTTTATAAAATAAAACTCTGTAAATTTTCATAGAGATTCCAATACAATGAATGAATAGCGATTGCGAAACAACAAGCAATTAGAGAAGAATTTTTTAAGGTTATTCCATTAGCTCTGCTCTCCTTCCATTTTTGGTAATTGGGTGAGCGCTTTCGGACGAAGTCAACTTTGCCGATGATATAGATAGAAGAAATATTTAACAACCAGTTTGCTATCTTAAATTAAACAGAGAAATATGGGAACAAACCAAACCTGCTCTTCACGGCCATCAAACTTACTGCAAACTAATGTGTTTTCGTCTTATAAGCATTTGCAGCAGATTTATGGTAAACTGAAATTAGAAATATTACATAAAAAATTTGAAAAATCCTTAATTAATTTATTCCACCAATACCAGCCATCAATCAGCCTTTGTTAAATGTCAAAATGCATTCTGTGCCTCACTTTGTTGAGCAAAGGCCATATTCATAGTTTTGAATGGTCCCTGAGGAGAACACACCAAAATTGTCCTTTCAATGAAAAATGAGTATTGTTTTTTCATCAACTATTGTCGACGGATCACTTTTTATAACTCTACCTAAAGGTGACAATGTAAAAGAGAATCTTAAATATTCTGATAAGATAAACCCACAGAATGGACGAATGAACAGGTCGAACATTACAAAAAAAACAGGTAGGAAGCGTCTTTCTTGGATATTTTTTAGGGATGAAAGGAAATGTAATAGAATAATAATACTGGAAGAAGGTGTTAAACATGCATTTAAGTATTGAAAAAAATTACTTTTGAAAAATAACAAACAATGGTAAGACTCCAATGGTTTTCGCGTGGCATTCGTAAACGAAGGAGGTGTGGTCTGTAGGCCATAAGTTAACTGGTTCAAAATTTTCAAAATTATTAAAATTGTGTTTTATTATCCTCAATATATAAATAAGTGAAGACAATAAATTTTCAGGTTATAACCTTCAAACATGTCCCTTTTCAGTAGTTGTGTTTATACTTTTCTAAATGTGCAAAATAATTAACTTATTATAAAATAGTGCTAGTTGCATATAACTGATACCAGCCAGCAATGCTGCCACAGTATCAGACATTTAAATTGGTTGCCGTGCGGCGTTTTCGCCTTCATCACTGGGGTCCGGGATTTTGTGGCATCTGTGGGTAACCGGGACCAATTTGGGGCGGTCCCACTGGTCCTCCCATTTGCTGCATGGGAGAATGCATCATAGGATTCGGGCTTGAACCAACTCTGGCACCGATTGGTGGGCCAATAGCCTAGTGCCGAATACAAATCTAAATTGTCAAACGTCATTTATTGTAAATTGACTTACCTGACTTTGTGGCGGTACATCATTTGGTAACTGGAGACTAATTAGTATTTCTCTTACAGCTGGAAACAAAGAACATTGCCCAGGTTGGGCCAAATGGTCAGAAAAATGTCTTAGAACGGCACTGACTGCAGTAGCAGCCGGTGACTGCGGTTGTTCACGTTTCTCAGCCAATTGCGTAAGATTAGAACTCAGATCATAGACCATTGGCAACACCAATGATGGACTGTCTTTCCACTCCTTACCGTTGTAGGGTATTCGAGTAATTTGCAACTTTAAGAATATATTGGAAAATGCTTACATTATTTCACTACAAAATTTAGTTCGGTTGTTATTACTTACAAAGAACAAAATCTTGAGCCGTACCATCAATACCCCGGGGCTGCCAATCGGCACAATTGGCGCGGCGGAGGGTGGTACACGCATACAAAATTGCACTGTCCATTTAATTTGATCGCCTCCTAAATCTGGATTCATCTCTAAGCGCATTATCTGTAGAAAATCTTTAAGAACTTGGGGAGCGCAACTTAAAACTCGGCTGAAACCGTGCAAGGCATTTGGTCGATATGGCGGTGCCGCTACCCGAGTGTCAAAGAATTTCTCAATTATCAGTAAATCATCGGGACTCAACTGGAAAGGCTGTTTACTATCCGGAGTGTGAGGTGGGGGTAATTGATTGACTTTCAAATGTAACGATTGCATGTGGACCTGATTTAAAATTACTTGGCATTGTAGACCATCTACTTTAAAAAGCACGACTCCAGGCTCATTAGAATTCAGAGCAGTCAGCGTGTCTTCGTTTTGAACATTACGATAAAGTTGACGCCTCATATATACACAACCCAGAAAACGTTCTAAAGGACTAATGTCAATCGTCGAAGTAATGTCCTTGTTCGGATGTGGGCTAGGACGACATAGTAAATCAAATTTTTCGTGAGTTAATAAAGTAGGCACAGCACCAGCATACGAACGGTTAGGCGGCGGCATCCGATTAATTACTTGCGAACTGCTACCGCTACCAGAATTTGTGTTTTGATTGATACCACTGGATTGACCAGATTTGTGATCCGGACTTTGGCCAGGTCGAGGAGATGGTCGGGGCATGCTGGGCGAGCCTGGCCAATTTGTGTTGGCCGGAGACATTGCTGCAAACGGAGAATCCTGATGTCCTTGCATGTAAAGAGTATTTGGTCCTGGACTATGCACCATATGAGGACTAGGTTGAGGATTCAGGGGTGACGATGGCATGAGAGCTCCAGGCGACGGATGTGGCATATGGGGTCCAGGTGGTGATGTCAAATTATAATTTGGATGACTTTGGGCGTTACTGCTGCCTGTCCCGACGCCACCGCCAGCTGAAGGATGAGGACTAGCCGGTGTATGTGGATTAGAGCTCGATGGTGGTGTATGCGGAGCAGGAAAACGTAGACCACTATCGCGCGGTGATTGAGGCCCTCTCATTCCAGTGCTAAGAAAAGGCGAAGAACCGCCAGCACTAGCACCTGAAGCGCTACCTGGTCCCCCAAAATTATCCTCACCACCGATTGGCGAAGGTGGATTGTCATCCTCGTTTTGCGAGCGTCCCCGATATACTGCATTTTCATCCACGTATTTAGATAGGAACCCCTATAAAAAACCAATAATAAGCACAAATTGCCTCATTGCGCGCGATTCCTTCACCTTTAATCCCTGTATGGGAGTGAACTCTTCAATTAGATTGCGGTCGAAACGACTGTATGCTCCATCACGTATAGATATTAGGCGCCCACTTCTAAATCGTATTTCCAAGCAATACACCGCTTGATACGCCAATCGTATCACACATGGTGATTGGGGAAGAATGCAAAAAGATAATACGGGTACTTGCGGACGCTAGATAAACGGTTAGTAACATTTATAGAAGCATTAATTTTTTTCTTTTCTTTTTCACTTCAATTACTTACTGGAATGCCCAAATGTGGTATAATGGGTAACTTAGCAATTGATGATAATGGATTGTACGTTTCATGGAGCAGCTGAACTATTTGCGTCAAATTATGTTTGGTGTTCAGATAAATAGCAAGCTGATCACGAATTACGGAATGCGCGTTGACCGCGGTTATACCGCCCAAAAAAGTCATATGAAAACCGCCCGCCGGCGCTGACCAAAATATATTGCAAAGTACCTCTTTTTTTGGCCCATAACCAAGCAACAAGTTGGTATAGTTATAGGAGTTAATGCTTAGCATATCCGTAATATTTAAACGTTCTGAAATGTAATTAATTCAAAGACGATGCAAAAATTTTTGAAGAAGACCGCTTACTGTTTTTAATGTGTTCGGCAAAACTGTAAACCAACGTGTAAAGATAAACGATCTTAGACCAATCTTTCAATAGGTCTTCTACAGTTTGTGAATAGTTACTAATTTGGTCATAGCTGAGATATAAGGTCCTACGATTGCCTTGCTCTCGGGGATGAATACTCTGCAAAGGTGTACTATAAAATATGAACTCCATTACCCAGCTGCGGATTTTATTGCTTTTGTTCATATGAGAACGTATTGAAATCGATAAAACGCGTTTCATTAAATCATCCCAAACATTCGACTCAATAGCAGGAAACTGGCTCTACATAGAAAATTTCATAACGTGATTTAGAAAGAGCTTAAAATATTGAATGAAGACTAACTTTGCGATCGTCCGGAGGCGTCGGTTTCGGCAATGTTATAATTTTCAAGACCAATGATATAGCGTTTGATTCCACTTGCAGACCGCAATGAGGAACATTGTACTTGGTTAAAGCCTGTGCCAGATTCAAAAAGGGAATTTTTTCATCACACATAGCTACAACATGTGCCAGGTCTGGTATGATATAAGCCGGATATATGGTTTTGGCTTGCTTAGTTGGAGGGGCAGTTAATTCGCTGTTTGATTTACGTTTGTGTGGAGGAACGTCTGGAAGAAAGTTGCGATATAATTGAAAATGGTTGATAAAGGGAAATTGTACTCACCGTCGACATCTGTGCCGGGGCCATGTGTAGCCACAAATGTATCAAATTCAATTAGACGCAAAAGCTTGGCAAAAACTTTTGGAATTTCATGGTGATGACTTCCCTGATTTTCAACATTGCTGCTTGATGTTTGAACTGGTACCAATTGTTTTGTTAAATCCTCTGACAAAACTTCAGTTTCATTACTTTGATAGACTAACAGGCCCAAATAAAAAGTATATTCCATCTCGTTCGGCATAGATGATTTCTCTTTCAAATGAACAACCTGCCATAGAACAACCGAATTAGACTTGCTACAGGTTTGAAAATTTACTAACTTACTAAAACCACATTCGGATGACGATGCAATTTTACATAAATTTTATGTCTGCCGGATTGTAGTAATGGATGATCGGGCATATTTAAAAATGTCAAATTCTCAGTGGCTGTTGCTGGTAAGTGTTGTAATGTTTTCTCGCATCGGCGATGAGTTATCCAATAGCGTAACTCTGTCATAATTTGAGGTAATTTACTGCGATCTCCATTTAAACACGTCTGCATTTCTGGCATAATTGGACAGTCCAAATGTTTCGGCACATGACATCGCAACATACCAGTGTGAGTATCTATGGTGATATGTATTTGTTCTGCTCTCAAACATGGCGTTAATACAGGTACTGTCAATATAGCAGGCGTTCCTTGCAGATTAACTAAAATTTATATGGGAATAGATGAAAACTCATTCATATCGGATATTCATAGCTTACAATCTACGTCTTTGAGAAACGCTTGAAATTCTAATTTTAAATCGGATAGTCTGGAAACTGATCGAATGTAGACCGTGTGAACTATTAAACGTTCCATTGAGAGGTGATCTGAACGCACTGCTCTGTCAGCTACTTCAGCGGATTCCTTTGCTCCCAATGATGGTACATGTACAACAGCTAAGGGTCGGCCAATTTCATTAGGATCCGACTGAACCGTCAAACGATAGCCCAACTCGGACTTTGGATCTTTGCTTGTTAATTCGCGCCAATACGATACTGTTATTTTATAACCAGGTATATATTCTTCTACGTTGATGTTATCATCCAATCGCTCATAACTTAAGCGTAACGTTTGCGTGTACAAAACCTCCAGTTGTAATGATTGACAAAAGTAATGTAGACAGTTGTACACTTCACATAAAGCGTTAGGATTTTCTACCAAGCGAACTTGAATAAGCTGATGTATATAATTTACTTGCAACGGATGAACTAAAGCTTTACCATCTAAAAATTTGAAATCGAGCTTAATTTTTTCTTTCATTTTTTTTTTTTTTCTATATATATATACACCTCCGGTCTCCTTGTCCTCTACCAGAATATCAATGTCCAGTAAACGCCAGGGAACGTTGGCATTATCACCCATCACAGTTAGCGAAACATTGAATTCGTGTTTAACCTCAAATATAACTCGTCCATTTCTTATCTGCAAAAACATGTACAAAAGTCTAAAAAGAAAATTTTGAAGAAAAAATCTACAATTTTAAAATACCTTAAATTCCCTCATTTGTGGCATTAATTTTCCAGTAACTAAGCGATGTTGTATAACTTGATTGAGACGCAGTAGGGTCTGTTTCTTTTCTTGGGGCGTTATCGGGTCTGGTGGCACTATACGCTCTCGAATGCAAGTAGGTAAACGATTATAAGTTCCAGTAGTAAGCACCTCAACAGCGGCAGGAATATGGAAATTTGGTAGACGTGCTCTGACTAAAGTTTCACGAGACATACGTGCCAGCATATCAGCCGTTTCAATGAACAGCATATTTTGCTTGTCCAGGAAGCTCATAATATTCTATAACGTAAAATTTAATAAAACGAACATTACTGTTAACAGGATTTATAAGTTGTCTTACAGCGGATTTGTCCACTTTGGAGACGGAATTTGCGTATTTAACCAAAGCAATGAGTCGTATGAAAAGCTGCCTAGTCCTGGCAGAAAAATTATATATTTCAATTTTGCGTTCCATGTCCGATTTACGAGGAAGTCTGCAAATTAATAAATGTTTTATAATTCCCCAGAAGATTTACAAAATTTTGCTAAGTACTTACAACTCTGCCAACACTGTTAAATCATGATAAGTCCTTTGGATGGTGAAATCGATTAACACTGATAAAGAAATAGTGTTCATACGGGAGCTTCCTTCTTGACCTTGTGGCAAGTAACCAGCTAACGCTTGCTCAAGTGGTTGCGGTGCAGGCGCCATATTTCGCTTAATTATCGCCTTTTCTCTGACGACTTCTTATTACTTCTGCACTTTTCTTATTGCTGCACGATTTCTCTGTGATTTATTTATTTTTTTTTTTTTGCAAAGTTTGTTAACAAATTCCAATAATATATATCTGAAGGATTCTCAACAAACAGCAACTGTAAATGCTGACCTTAATAACAAAGAGTTGCATCACTAGGCCACGGAAGTAACAAACCGTATTAAACAAAATAGGTTGTCTTTTTAGCAAACATAATCAACCTTACTTACGAATGCGTCTAAAGTATCTGGCATTATTCGATGACATTATATATAAATGCATATTCCATACATTCATTAATAATAGAAATCTAAAATAGAATATTAAAATTACTTCTTTCTAAGATAACCGCTGGCTTATTTAAGAATTTGGAAAAGATATAAGAATTTTGTGAATGTTAACTGAAAAAATCGTGGCGATAATCACGTAGCTGAAAGTTAGCTTTTGCTTTTGTGGCACAAACGGCTGAATACAATAGCGAAAGCTAAATTCTTCACACGTAATTTTCATATATAGGTAGTGAACATGAAAGCACATAATGAAAAATGAAATAAATAAATATATCCACAAACAGAACTAATCGCTAACTTTAGAGGTGTTTTTGTTGCGCTCTATATAGAATTCACAATAAAAATGAAATTCTCTTAAGTGTATTGATTATGTATTTATTAGTTAACTAGCTCCTACTTTGATGACATAACTTGAAAGTTATTTAGTGTTGAATTATGTATGGCTTACGTAATTCAAAAACAAAAGCATGATAAAATCAACAACAAAATCAGTGCAGGTAATATTATATGAAACCTATATAAACATGAAATAAAATTTCAAAATGCAAATATATCACTTTATTTATATTGAATCTAAAATTTACTAGATTTTCTTCAACATTGATATTTTGAATACTACTCATTAACGCCTTTTTACTATTTGTTGATCCTTTGCGCTTTATCAATGACAACGACAATGCATGATGATGCACAGAACGAGTTATGATGCGGGATTGATTATAGGCTTTCGCTGATTAAGAGCATTAATTAGACGAGCGAAGAAAAAAAAATTATTTTACTAATTTTTCGGATATTTAAAATTTTTTTCGGTTCAACTGTTTGCAAGTAAAAAAATGTTGCTTGAAATTTATATTGTTTCTAATTTGCCGGTGTTTTCTCTTATAAATACAATTCTAAACACAAAATACTAAAGAATGCCGTGAGCTAATTTGCTTCCCCTAGGGGGTCATCACGTAGCTGAAAGTTAGCTTTCGCTTTGCTATTAAGCCGTTTACCCAAACAGCTGATTACAAAAGCGAAAACTACATTTTTTATGCGTTACGCGCATCTCTTGTGCATACACATAACAGGTCGAAACTCGAAAATGAAACCTGGTTAATGCCATACATAATCAGCTGCGTAAATGATGCTTCACGGAGGAAAGCAGTTATAGCAATTGTAAACAAGAAACAAGCGTTTGTTTGTATGTTTTACGAAAGTGAATGCTATTCTATATGATCGTTTTTGTGGAATCCTTTATCCGAACTCTAAATAGAGTGCGACAAAAACATTACTTTTGTTATCGTTCAAACAAATAGCTTCGTGTTCACATTCGATTTTTCCTAGTCAGCTCAGTAAATCATCTGTTGTTGATCTGCTGGATTTTTGTAGAAGATCAAAATTTCTTTTCGAATTTTTTAATTTAAGTTTCCATTATTGTATTTTGTCAAATACGAACTCAAGAAATAAAGAAATCAAATATTATCAAGTACATGCAATGATAAACAAGAAAAGTAGCGAACTTTTAGAAAAAGAAAAACTAAAAACGTAATATATATATATATGTTGTTTATAAACAAAAACTTGGAGTCTTCGCACACTTCCACGATTTTTTCTTCATTTACTTAATACAATTTTAGTTGAAATTTCAATTCATTTAAATTTACATTTAAATAACTGAGGAGATAAATAAATATACCTTGAAGTAGTTTTTTCTATGTGGGATATATTACAGCTTTGATTGCAGGAAAACTATATTTGATGTGAAAATAACAAACGATGTTTTGAAGAACAACCGCAATTGTATTTTAAAATTAATTTACTTTTCAAGCAAACGTTTGGAATGTTATTAATACATTGCGATAGACACAGCATAACGATATTGAATTTCAAATCTTCCAAATTCTATGACGACCTTATATCATTATATTTTTGAGTGAAATTTTGCGACTATAGTGAATTCAAGTTTTATTAAATAAAACTCTGTAATTTTTCATAGCAAATTAATGTATTAGAGTTATGTTTATCTCTTATAACCATTTGCAGCAGATTTGTGGTAAACTGAAATTAGAAATATTACGTAAAAAATTTGGGAAATCTTTAATTAACTTATTCCACCAACATCAGCCTTTGCTAAATGCCACAATGAACTTTGTGCCTCATTTTGTTGAGCAAAAGCCGTATACAAGTTTCGAATGTTCCGTGAGGGGAACACAACAAAGTTGTCTTTTCAATGAAAAATGAGTATTGTTTGTTTTGTCGACGTGGTTGTCGGTGGATCATACAAATTTCGAGATTGATCGAAAGAGAAATTTCATCAAAATATCTAAAAAAATTGTGACCTGTAGCTTGAACATAAAAATGCATGGACAGACATCGACGGACAGATGGATAGGGAGGTTTAAATCAATTCCGATGATGATTCTGAATCGATCGGTGGATTGAAAGGCGGGTCTGCCTTAAGCCCTTTTAAGTGTTACCCACAGTGCACGCAAATATTTGTACCACATGTGGTTGAGTGTATAACGAAAGTTGAAAAAAATTTTAATTATCAAAACATAATTATTTAGAAACATTCTCTTTAAGAAGAATTTTTATAAAAAAATTTTATTTTATAGAAAGAGTAAATCATGCGGTAATGTTTAATGTTTATTACTTTTAATTTAATATTTTGCATAAATATTGCAGGCTTTTTATTATTGTAAGTAAAGTTTTTTTTATACCAAGTGGTTAAAGGTGATTGCGTATGTATAAATTTATATACACTGTGATGTGCAAAGAACAAGTTCATTGACCATATGAGTATATTTAAAAAATTTTCCAATAAATACACTTGTTTGTGTTGCCAACACATACATTTATGTATATTTTGTAAATTTATTTTTGGGGCGTATACATAATACTAAAAGAATACTTCTCAAGCAAAGACATTTCCGCTTTTCCATGGAAATTATTATGTATCACAATTCTTATACATATTTCGCCAATTACTATAGCGGTATAATCCGCTGCTAATAGTGTCCTGCGTGAGGTTTAGCCACGGAATTGATTCGGAAATTTCTTGGTATATATTAATTGAAAGTCTCAAGCCACAGTTCAATTTTTTAAAAAGTTTCACACCTATCGTGGATTGGCGAGAAGTTGGGTTATATGTAAACATATAATTAATAAATAATAATAAATAAATAAATACAAACAAATAAAATCAAAAATTATTGAAGCAGATCCATAAATTCAACCAAAAATCGTAATCATTCTTAGAAAGAAGGGCAATTGTTAAACGACGTCTGTCAAAATTTTGATGTCATTTTTTTACAAGATCGTATTGTTATGTTGCTGGCGGTTTATTCAAAATAATTTTGGAAAATGTGAACTTTGTGTTTTGATGAAACAGTAGTTTTTGATGAATCGAGGTCGGGTGGGGGGAATACCGGTCGAATTAAGTATCGGCGCAGGAAGATGCTATGGCAGCTTGTCTCGATGGAAAACAACAATTTATCGATAGTTTGCTGATTTTAAAAGAATACCTAAAGACATCGATTATGCAGACAGCAGGGAGCGCCTAAAAGAAACGGTTACACCATAAAATTATTCTCGATAAACGAGAAATAAATTTAAAAGAGATGCTTAAGATTATCAAAAGACGGTCAAGTTATTATTTGGAATTACAAAATATGAGTAAGTTGTTTTCCAAATCAGTCCTGCGCCTACTCAAACTAGAATAAAAACAACGTGTCACAAGTTGATGATGTTGATAATGTCAAAATTGCGTGTATTGAAGTTCGAAAAGCCCAATCAACATATTCTTTAGATCTAACCAATAATGGCTATTATCTGTTTCTAATTCTCGAAGAGAAGAAGAAGACTAAAGCCCGTTTTGAAGGCCTTGATAAATCGTTCTATAGAATAGGTATCGATATGTTGGAGAAACATTGGACTGATTGTACTAGTACAGAAGACGACTATGGCGATGAATAAAGTCGAACTTTTCAACCATTTTTTCCCTACTTCACCCCGGGTATTATGGACTTATGTATATATAAATGTGTAGATAAATAATTTTCCTCATATCGTCTTTCTTGAACATCTCAGGCTTTATTATAAAAACCAGTTATACATTTGCTGTTGTAAATATTGTTGACCGCGAAGCGCTACTTCTGCTATATTCTGAAAATGGTGTAAATTCCGTGCGTAAAGAACGACTGATCTTTTAAGGGTAACAAACTGTAAGTCAGCAAGTGATAATCGGAAGAAGCAATCTGTGCTATGATAATAGCGGAGAAGATAAGACATTTCATGCTGCAAACATTTTCTGAGAGAGTTTTGCTATATCCATATTGAGAAGAACCCACGATATCATGACTTTTAGAATCTTACGTTTATTTTTTATTGCAATTGCATCTGTTGCTGCTGCTAGCATTTTTTAGTGATGGTCTCTTTTGTTTCGAACCAACCATAATACAGTATGCCCAGCCGCCGCTCCTGCTGAGCGATTGGGACCGCCACATATACGTATTTAGCTTTGTCATCGATTTTAATGATTCGGACACCATGACCCATCTACTGTTCATCATTGAAAAAAGTAAAGTTCCCCGCAAATGTCGTTCTTTTCTCGCAGAGCTACATCTATTCAAAGTTCCATGAAACGATGTTGTGTACGCTTTAGTATTCTAATTTATACAGTTGCGTATAGGTTAAAGACAGTATTTTCGAATCGAAAAGTTCAACTTTTATTTAGCGCTCTATAGAACTAGTTACACTCTTTCTGAAAAAACGGTGGAGTCAAATTCATATATCCAATGTACATGCATACGTACATATATGCATGTATGTACATAATATCATATAAATATATATATAT